CTTGAAATCTTCAATATTGAAGAATATTCTTCAATATTGAAGAATATTCTTCAATATTGAAGAATATTCTTCAATATTGAAGAATATTCTTCAATATTGAAGAATATTCTTCAATATTGAAGAATATTCTTCAATATTGAAGAATATTCTTCAATATTGAAGAATATTCTTCAATATTGAAGAATATTCTTCAATATTGAAGAATATTCTTCAATATTGAAGAATATTCTTCAATATTGAAGAATATTCTTCAATATTGAAGAATATTAATATTGAAATATTCTTCAATATTGAAGAATATTCTTCAATATTGAAGAATATTCTTCAATATTGAAGAATATTCTTCAATATTGAAGAATATTCTTCAATATTGAAGAATATTCTTCAATATTGAAGAATATTCTTCAATATTGAAGAATATTCTTCAATATTGAAGAATATTCTTCAATATTGAAGAATATTCTTCAATATTGAAGAATATTCTTCAATATTGAAGAATATTCTTCAATATTGAAGAATATTCTTCAATATTGAAGAATATTCTTCAATATTGAAGAATATTCTTCAATATTGAAGAATATTCTTCAATATTGAAGAATATTCTTCAATATTGAAGAATATTCTTCAATATTGAAGAATATTCTTCAATATTGAAGAATATTCTTCAATATTGAAGAATATTCTTCAATATTGAAGAATATTCTTCAATATTGAAGAATAATATTGAAGAATATTCTTCAATATTGAAGAATATTCTTCAATATTGAAGAATATTCTTCAATATTGAAGAATATTCTTCAATATTGAAGAATATTCTTCAATATTGAAGAATATTCTTCAATATTGAAGAATATTCTTCAATATTGAAGAATATTCTTCAATATTGAAGAATATTCTTCAATATTGAAGAATATTCTTCAATATTGAAGAATATTCTTCAATATTGAAGAATATTCTTCAATATTGAAGAATATTCTTCAATATTGAAGAATATTCTTCAATATTGAAGAATATTCTTCAATATTGAAGAATATTCTTCAATATTGAAGAATATTGTTCAATATTGAAGAATATTCTTCAATATTGAAGAATATTCTTCAATATTGAAGAATATTCTTCAATATTGAAGAATATTCTTCAATATTGAAGAATATTCTTCAATATTGAAGAATAATATTGAAGAATATTCTTCAATATTGAAGAATATTCTCCAATATTGAAGATTATTCTTCAATATTGAAGAATATTCTTCAATATTGAAGAATATTCTTCAATATTGAAGAATATTCTTCAATATTGAAGAATATTCTTCAATATTGAAGAATATTCTTCAATATTGAAGAATATTCTTCAATATTGAAGAATATTCTTCAATATTGAAGAATATTCTTCAATATTGAAGAATATTCTTCAATATTCTTCAATATTGAAGAATATTCTTCAATATTGAAGAATATTCTTCAATATTGAAGAATATTCTTCAATATTATTCTTCAATATTGAAGAATATTCTTCAATATTGAAGAATATTCTTCAATATTGAAGAATATTCTTCAATATTGAAGAATATTCTTCAATATTATTCTTCAATATTGAAGAATATTCTTCAATATTGAAGAATATTCTTCAATATTGGAGAATATTCTTCAATATTGAAGAATATTCTTCAATATTGAAGAATATTCTTCAATATTGAAGAATATTCTTCAATATTGAAGAATATTCTTCAATATTGAAGAATATTCTTCAATATTGTAGAATATTCTTCAATATTGAAGAATATTCTTCAATATTGAAGAATATTCTTCAATATTGAAGAATATTCTTCAATATTGAAGAATATTCTTCAATATTGAAGAATATTCTTCAATATTGAAGAATATTCTTCAATATTGAAGAATATTCTTCAATATTGAAGAATATTCTTCAATATTGAAGAATATTCTTCAATATTGAAGAATATTGAAGAATAATATTCAAATTGAATATTCTTCAATATTGAAGAATATTCTTCAATATTGAAGAAGAATATTCTTCAATATTGAAGAATAATATTGAAGAATATTCTTCAATATTGAAGAATATTGAAGAATATTCTTCAATATTCTTCAATATTGAAGAATATTCTTCAATATTGAAGAATATTCTTCAATATTGAAGAATATTCTTCAATATTGAAGAATATTCTTCAATATTGAAGAATATTCTTCAATATTGAAGAATATTCTTCAATATTGAAGAATATTCTTCAATATTGAAGAATATTCTTCAATATTGAAGAATATTCTTCAATATTGAAGAATATTCTTCAATATTGAAGAATATTCTTCAATATTGAAGAATATTCTTCAATATTATTCTTCAATATTGAAGAATATTCTTCAATATTGAAGAATATTCTTCAATATTGAAGAATATTCTTCAATATTGAAGAATATTCTTCAATATTGAAGAATATTCTTCAATATTGAAGAATATTCTTCAATATTGAAGAATATTCTTCAATATTGAAGAATATTCTTCAATATTGAAGAATATTCTTCAATATTATTCTTCAATATTGAAGAATATTCTTCAATATTATTCTTCAATATTGAAGAATATTCTTCAATATTATTCTTCAATATTGAAGAATATTCTTCAATATTGAAGAATATTCTTCAATATTGAAGAATATTCTTCAATATTGAAGAATATTCTTCAATATTGAAGAATATTCTTCAATATTGAAGAATATTCTTCAATATTGAAGAATATTCTTCAATATTGAAGAATATTCTTCAATATTGAAGAATATTCTTCAATATTGAAGAATATTCTTCAATATTGAAGAATAATATTGAAGAATATTCTTCAATATTATTCTTCAATATTGAAGATATATTCTTCAATCTTCAATATTGAAATTCTTCAATTGAAGAATATTCTTCAATATTGAAGAATATTGAATATTATTCTTCAATATTGAAGAATATTCTTCAATATTGAAGAATATTCTTCAATATTGAAGAATATTCTTCAATATTGAAGAATATTCTTCAATATTTATTCTTCAATATTGAAGAATATTCTTCAATATTGAAGAATATTCTTCAATATTTCAATATTGAAGAATATTCTTCAATATTGAAGAATATTCTTCAATATTCTTGAATAATATTCTTCAATATTGAAGAATATTCTTCAATATTGAAGAATATTCTTCAATATTATATTCTTCAATATTGAAGAATATTCTTCAATATTGAAGAATATTCTTCAATATTGAAGAATATTCTTCAATATTGAAGAATATTCTTCAATATTGAAGAATATTCTTCAATATTGAAGAATATTCTTCAATATTGAAGAATATTCTTCAATATTATTCTTCAATATTGAAGAATATTCTTCAATATTGAAGAATATTCTTCAATATTGAAGAATATTCCCCAATATTGAAGAATATTCTTCAATATTATTCTTCAATATTGAAGAATATTCTTCAATATTGAAGAATATTCTTCAATATTGAAGAATATTCTTCAATATTGAAGAATATTCTTCAATATTATTCTTCAATATTGAAGAATATTCTTCAATATTGAAGATTATTCTTCAATATTGAAGAATATTCTTCAATATTGAAGAATATTCTTCAATATTGAAGAATATTCTTCAATATTGAAGATATTATTCTTCAATATTGAAGAATATTCTTCAATATTGAAGAATATTCTTCAATATTGAAGAATATTCTTCAATATTGAAGAATATTCTTCAATATTGAAGAATATTCTTCAATATTGAAGAATATTCTTCAATATTGAAGAATATTCTTCAATATTGAAGAATATTCTTCAATATTGAAGAATATTCTTCAATATTGAAGAATATTCTTCAATATTGAAGAATATTCTTCAATATTGAAGAATATTCTTCAATATTGAAGAATATTCTTCAATATTGAAGAATATTCTTCAATATTGAAGAATATTCTTCAATATTGAAGAATATTCTTCAATATTGAAGAATATTCTTCAATATTGAAGAATATTCTTCAATATTGAAGAATAATATTGAAGAATATTCTTCAATATTAATCATCAATATTGAAGAATATTCTTCAATATTGAAGAATAACGTCTTCAGGGATGCCTTTTATATATTCACACAACGTTCTATTTCCTTCAAACAACGTTTATATAGATTTTACATAACTCTCATCTGTGACTACAAACAGGACAAGACAAAACAGAAGAGGTTGTTAAAAACAAATAAACAAAAAACAACCTTCAATTCAAGTATGTTTATTCAGACAATAATAATTACATATCAACATGATAGTCATTTAGGGTACTTCCACTCACCTATACTTGCAGAACCTCAAGGGGCCACACAAATACACATTACAATATTCATTTGTCATATAGTAAGCAAAGCATATAAATTTTACACTCTTGCCAAAATTCTTGTAGCTGCGATGTATACTGTCTATCATAATGATATCACACATCCATACAATTTGATGTGGTACACTACTTATCAATAACTCTACAAACTTAAATACCTTGACACTCGAAACATTATGTATTAAACTTCAAGTATGTTATTTCACAACAGTTAAAACAATATTATTCACTAAAACTAACGAGTACCTCAGGGTATTTCTACCACAAATTCAATCCGTAATATTACAACAATCCAATTTCACGCTAATACAGTACTATCTATGGGTATATTATTGTACATCAACGGCACTAAATTTCCATCAATTAACGCTCAAAGATAATATTCTCACTACTTTCTTCCATGATTAATAATAACACTATCTTTTCCCTGTCACTCACACTCCGGGAGATAAGAGATCTTCTCACACTCTCTCCCAACACAGTAACTATTGTGCAAGTGACGAGAAAGCCAACATGTTACAAACATCAAAGGTATTATTCATATCTATTTTCTATTGTATTTCTCTATACCGTTTTACTTTAACATTTGTTTCAACATTTGTCACTACACAACGTTCAACGCTAACACTACTTCTATTTTCATTTTCTGAGCTTGAACAAAACCTGCTCAGATTGCCGACTTATTTTTTGGATAATGCTAAATCATATTTTATTATTAATAACTAATTTTTTTTTTTATTATTTACTATATTTATTACCTATTTTATTCAGTAACAGTATTTGCTCATTAACAGCAATGATAATGACTTATTCACTAGTGCATAACAATCATTATTATGATTATTCCTTATATTTAAAAACTACATTTTAATTACAATTCATAACTACATCCATATGTAGTCAATTAAACTTGCATTAATTTATTTACACTAATTACAATTCATCCGATTATTTATTAGCTATCTGCAGGCTTATCAATTTGGGGGTTCCGCCCGAGCACCGCAAACACCGCGCGGAAACCACAACCCAGAAGGGCGAACGCGTCGGCTGCCCGCTGGAACTAGCAATGTGGGTCGACCTCATGGGTGCAGTTCTCTGTCCTCGGGCTCCATCCCTTTTCATTCTTCATCAATGGTGTACCTCGTGCGCCTTCCGTAGTCGGTTCTGCAAGTATTAAGGCAGTAAGAGTGGGCAGAAACGGCCATGCACTATCAACGTCACAGCCAACGAACCTACCCCTTAAGGCTACTGCTGGAATTCGTTTCTAAGAGGAGGGCCACATTTCCGCAACCGAACTGGGCAACTGTCATTAATGGATAAAGCCAGGCTGATACCCTCTGGAGAAATCTGAAAACCAACCCTGGCACAGGGGAAACGAAGAGAAAAAGATCTTCCACGAAACTAGTCTGTAGCTAAGTAAGGTAACTACCAACCCGAGCAGAACTTTACCGACAAAAATAGGTTGGGGGGGGGGGGGGGGGGGAACCAGTTTCCGTATCGGCGTCAAGGCCACATGTTAATCAACGGCCATCCATCTAGCAAGCCATAATTATTTTTTTACTTTTAACATTGAATATTATCAAACAAAACAATATATATTTATATGACCACTATGTATATATTATAAAATAATTCTATAAATATAACCTTATAACAAACACCTCTTAAGGCGCAACATGCTTCCGTCCACAGTGACAAATTATAACGAGGGTACCCGAGTCCGTTACACTGATCTCCACTCTATGTTCGCCTCAGAAACAATGTTACACCTCAATAGTTAACCTAAGAAACTGCCTTAACACGCGTCAATGAGTTTAGTCTCAGTGTCAATGACCATCTGCGACCAGCAGTAACCCAACAACTTAAACATCTCCCCATCTGAGGCAAAGTGACATGGACACCAGGAAGGCTAGCGATCCCTATTTGTAAAACGTCTCCATAAACCACCGGCCGGGAAGCCCGCATATTTATAGCACAAATATAAACATAATACCTGAATAACATCGCCACCTTAACTCATCACACGAAGAACGTTGGCTGCAGACCAGACCATGAACGCACTCACCTAAGACGCCAGTGGCTATAACTTTCATGGCTACATTGCCCACACAAACGTCTGGATAAACCAGCGGCCTGGGAACCACCAGTATCTTCCCGCCTACACCCAGCAGACAACACGTCGGATAACCAGCGGCCTGGGACGCCACACATGTCTGCATAAACCGGGAGCCTCCACATTCTTTCGGCCTACACCGGCCAGACAAAACCACTAGAAACGTTTACTGGTACTGCTAAACGAAAATGCTAATCTCGACCTGTCAGTAATAACGTCATCACAAAGTCAACAATCACCACCTATCTCTAAAGCGGTAAGTAACATGACTTCCACTGAAGCAATGCATGAGTACCAATACATTCCGGAAGGAACTAATCATAATATGAGTCCAAGATAAACTTAAAGCCAGAGGCATGAGGCCCAAATACACCGTCTAGGACATCCTACCTGACTTAACTTATGCTTCACCTATAAGTTAAACTAACAAATGTCAAACCACCAAAGAAACATGCACTGCATAAAATTTCCTTTTTTATTTTCAGGACATTTATGGAACATAACATTCTATGAAAACTTAAAACGTACGGCCCAGGAGGCCTGTGACACAGCAGCTAACCTACCTAACTTTAACGCGATAACCAATATTATCAACAAACATAAGTCTAAACAACTAATAACTAAAACCTGCAGCAACACCCTGCATAATTTGCGGGAATACTTAGCTGATGTAACTAAACGTCAATGCAGGGCCAGTAACCTTGAGGTAAAGGGGGGTGGAGGAGCCCTACTCCGCGCCTATCACGCCTACCTCAGTTAATTCATATTTTTAACTCGCCAACTACCACAACCTACGTTACTTCATCAATAACTAAATACAATAACCAACAGTTTTAATAACTTAATAAAACATGCACGGGGGCAATGCATCAATTGTAATACATTGCAGAAAAACATATCCTACTTGCAAGCCCAACGAAGGTAACAGCAATACACTTGGACCCGTGATGCGGGTCAAAGATAAATACATTCCGGATACATATTTTGTCACCCATAACACATTCTAACAGAAAAACAATATAACATTTCATATAGCCACCGTTTAGAGCAGGGTAAGTCAATTACAGTCAATGTTCTAACAATACATTCACGTCTCCTTTACAATTATATCTATTACCATTTTAGCTTCAGTTCTGTAACGTTCCCCATATATTATAAACTTATTTGGTATTTCCTAGAATGCCAATCACATTTATATATACAAGAAGGTACATTGGCTTTGTTATAATACATAGCATGCTATTTACACTTCTAAGGCAATTAGTACGCGCAGCATTTCGGCCACATCCTTAATCTAAGATAATTTTAACTAGGTCAATTACACCGGATTTAATGCAATGATTGATACAAACAAAACGTGAGATTAGAAGGTACAGGTATATTAAACAACATTGGTATATTAAAGTTCAGATTCCATTGACACCTTCATTCGTCATTTATACTAACATTAATACGCAACATACACCAATTTTAAACACCATAACACAGCAATGATCACAATGGTCAATTTCTGCCATGGGCTACATGATTATAATATTGGGTAACACTACATACAATGCTATTTTCAAGCAACAATGTACAAAACAAGGAACATGCAATTACGTTACTTTTACTTTATATATTGGGTACTTATCGTAAACCTATTACTCCTAATTACGTACCTATTCTTCACATTTACGTACCTCTTGGTCTAATCTCCTAACACAAATATTAGGACATTAGGTACTTCTAGTTTCATTATTCCATTATGATTCCCTACAACTATATATTCCTTTATGATTCAACAATTACCTAATATTATTTCTCTACATCAACTATATATTTCCCCTTCCTGGACCTGACCACATATTTACTGCCCTCTGTAAGGACACGCCTTCTAGGCGACTCCCTCCTATTTATCTATTATATATATTCAACATTAATAACTATTCAAAACCCCATGGATCTCTAATAACCATCAAATTACATGCTCGACGATTCTGCACTATAAACATTTACAACAATTTGTAATTCGGTCGTACCTTCTATGGAACAGAAACTTGATCATTCAACAGCTGGAGGTTGTGTCCCTACAGTAACTACACACGATGGTATCCACGTCTAGGGTCCTCAAGCGTGTCACCTGCGAAACTATATTCTATTCAGGATTCTGAACATTCATATACGATAAACATTCCTTATCAACATTACTATCTCAAATACACGGCCATGCACTGTTCCAAAAACAAGACAGATTGGGAGGGGGGGGGGGGCCCTCATGGGCCAATTTCGATTTGGGACACGCACCGACTTATGAATCAAGCGCCAATCAACCTTCCAGACACTGTGGGGGGGGGGGGGGTTTATCAACTAAGCTTCATCTCTTATCTGGAAGCTGCGAGTGTGGCCTGTTCTTTATGTGTATTTCACCATCTATACATGAAAAACGAGTACCAGTCATACATATACACACACCGAAGCTTCCACACATTATGCTCACCTCCAGCCATTTACTTTTATTATATAATAAAACTGTTCCGACTAGTAAGGCTGGGTCTCATGACGTCTAATGCTCAAAGTACACCACATGATTAATTCACGAATGATAATATATTTAGTACTACTTGCTATTTCAGTTTTATGGACTACGTAACTACATTCTTGGAGGAAGATGTGTTGAAATAAACATATCACACACCTGCAGGTCACAGCCTCTTCCATTACTCTGCAGTGTGGCGTTGGTTCCCCTCCACCAATGTTGCTTTCTTCACAAATAGATACATCACCATTGCTGTTTCGCCCAGCCCCCACCTCTCCACACGCTCATCTGCATGAAATATTCAATATATTATGCATCCATTTAACATTGACAACATTTCTTAAGGCCTACAACCATCTATGAATACTCTAGTCCAAACTCCTTACACAATTCTCTCTTCCCTGCGAAATCATTTCCTATAATATAATTCAACCTCTAACAATTTGTATATTACTTTCTGACATGTAACTCCCTTTAGATGAGGGAAAACTAGAATACATAGCCAAACATGTCTTGCACCTCGGACCAGTGCTAATTCTTTTCAATACCATCAAAGCGCAGCCATGACAATACCCTTCCCCACACTCAAAACACCATGTCGGGTATACCTACAATCAGAAGCTAAACAAGATATTTTCAATTATTCGGCCTCCGTGTTCCCGCATAATCATCCTCCCTTCCCCCAATAACCCTCTATGTTACACTTCTGGTTAGACAACCTTAACTGCCCAATAATAACCTACCAGTAGTAATTGGGGTACCTATATCACCACAGATTGCCTGATTATGTTCCAAGGAAAGGACACTATGTTCCTAGTACACAATTCTCCATTAACACTACAAAATCAAGTCCACACCAAATACTTCCTGCTACACAATGATAACCAACAGATCGTGGACCAATACCTGAAGCTCAACCATAACTTAAACAAGTGACTTTACATGTATTTTCAATTTTGCCTCCACATACACTACTGGTGCAGCGCACGCTATCCCGCTCACTACACAATTACACCAATATCAACAACATAACCACCACCTACACACTCCCACGTGCACCGTCGCCAGCCACCTACACTAAACAAGACAAATACTGTCACGAGGCTCACATCTGGAGTTGAAATTAATCAGCCATTGCTAGCAAGTCAACCGGAACCTTCACATCCCATACACGAATAAATGATATTGTTGACCTGTATTTTTTTTTACGAGCTCTTTCTCCTACGAAGGAGGTCGCGCTTATTGAATACTGTATATTTAACATAAACAAATTCACTTAATATTCTCGCTAACATTAAACATTTCCTTATTGAAATGTTATCACCAATGTACGTCAAACCACTCTGGTAAATTTATGTCTACGGCCTTCGACGAGGACAGGAAGGCTACGTATTGTCAACGGTTCCCCCCCCTCATACCTAAAATTATGTACCCACGTAACCCAAACACTTTAAAGTGGCGTGGGGGGCACAACACCACTAAATTGGGATCAAAGACTACACTACCCACACCGAGAGCGGCCAAACACTATCCACCGACTTATTCACTACTCTTAATCACCAGTTACCGCAAGCAACACCACCATCCTCCTTCAAGACTAGGAATTTAGACTTTGAGCAACGTTTTACACCACTTAATGTTAAGTGGTGTAACTCATAGATTTTCATATTTAAAACATAACTGATGGGGGTCCTGATATGGCTGTAGTAATGACTGCTCAAAGTTCAATGGCCAAAATTACGCTCCAAACTACGCTATTCCTAATACAATATTACTATGCCTCTAACTATTTCCAAAGTGCCGGATAGGCCCATCATACCTTGGTAACTCAAATACCACAACTGGAACATCTGCCACCAGCTTCTGCTCGGCAGGATATGACTGGAATCACCGCTCCTTCAAGACTGCTGTGGGAAAATTAAATACAATGTTAAAATACAGTACCTAAACATTTATAAATAGATTTCAGTACCGATTATGGGTCAGTACTAAAAATGTCCCTGAATATATCCACCCCCCAACAGGGGGTATATACGACAGCTAAAAATAATAGATTTTTGCCCCTATGTGCGTTTTGACGGTGTACAGAGTGACAGTGTAACCTAGGGGTCTGTCACCAAAGCGAACCCCAAAGGGTAACGGGCTACCAGCTAAGAGTAACATCACGCCCTAACACTAACTTGTACACCTCTACTCGGCTAATTCTAGGGGCAAAATAACGTTCCGTTGCGCCTGAATGAGCAGGTGGACTCAATAGCCAATCACGTTTCTCATTTGCAGTTGACGTCACATACTCAATAGCCAATCACGTTTCTCATTTTCAGTTGACGTCACATACTCAATAGCCAATCACCTTTCTCATTTTCAGTTGACGTCACATTGTCGCAACCTGTACGGTCATTCGTCGCCTCGACGTAATTGGATACCCGAGTAGTTAATGAGATTTATTTTTGGAAAATGAAATATATACAATAAAATGTATACACAAACTATAAGAAACATACATGTACCAAATGAATGAGATTTTATTCAGTTTTATATAATTTACCTATTTTAAATTATCTGTTAGATTACGCACCTGCCAGAAACGCTGCGCGTACTAGCGGCTTTACAAGAGTGTAATTACTGTATTATGCTATGTATTCCCACAAACACAATGTACCTTCTTGTATATAATTAAATAATTAATTACATACATTTAATGTTTTACATTACACTCACAAATGATGATTTTCCAATACTTATTATTATATATATTATTATACTTTTTAAATAATAACATTAATTATTCAAGCTGTATGTACAGTACAACACAGTACAGCATAGTACAGTATCGTACAGTACAGTTCCGTACGCTACGATGCACTACAGTATACTGTACTGTATACATTACAATACAGTACAGTACCGTACGATACACTACAGTCAAGGGCACATTACTGTACACTACAATATACAACAGTACACAACCGTACGGTACACTACACTACAATGTACAGTACCGTGCAGTTCAGGGGCCAGATTCACGAAAGCACTTACGAACGTGTACATCTTTCCTCAATCTTTGACGGCTTTGGTTACATTTATTAAACAGTTTACAAGCATGAAAACTTGCCAATCAACTGTTGTTATTGTTATAAACAGCCTCCTGCTGCTTCGGAGCTCATTAACTGTTTAACACTTGTAAACAAACACGCCAAAGATTGAGAAAACATGTACAGGTTCGTAAGTACTTGCGTAACTGCTTCGTGATTCTGACCCCAGGCCTCACCACTGGAGTGGGGGGGGGGGGGGGGGTAGTCGTCGCCACGTCTCGTGTTCCCACTAGTTCTTGGGCGCTGCGACGGGGTGCTGGTGCGGCCGCTCACCGGCGTCTTAGCTCGCGGCATGGCGGCGGCTGGGAGTAGGCCGATTCGCCGTGTAGATACTGTGGGGCTTGCTTTCTCAGCTCCTGTGGATTGCCCTCTCGTATTACTCGCGTTACTGGACGTTTTGGATGTGAAGGTCGCCGATCTTTTAGGCCGGGAGAAACTTACGTATATGCGTGTGGCGGTGAAATTTGCAACGTCAGCCAGCTACCTCAACAAAACAGGGAATAGTGAAGCAAAAGATTTTCGAGAATTAGTTGACGATTGCTTTCTTACGCAACACATTAAGGAACCAACGCGGGAAAATAATATTTTAGATTTAGTGTTAACTAACAGGGAAACAAAAATTAATTACTTCGAAATAGGGAGTGAGCTAGGGAACAGTGATCACAAAGTAATCAGATTTAGCATAGAATGGAATACACCTATAGGAAAAAATTATTTAAGTGCCAGATTTCCGAAAAACTGCTTTTAATAGCCTAAGAAACTTTTTGGGTCAAATAAATTGGAAAGTCTTGGGTATAGGGTGTGGGCCGGTCTTAGAGCGACACTTGAACCCAGCGATAGCTGACGTAAAACGGGATTTCGATGTGGATTTAATATATAACTTATTTAACAATATTCTAAACAAAGCACAGGAACGTAGTATACCATACAAATTGAATAGATCGAATACTAATGACCCAAAGTGGATAACAAATACTTGAAAGAACCTTATAGGTAACAAGAGACCTTGGTACAGAAGGATTAAGAATGGAGAAGTCAGTTTAGAACAGGAATTCATACAACTGGTTAGAAATGTTAAAAAAGAGATTAGGAAAGCAACAAGAAACTACGAAGTTCGCATAGCAGAGCAAGCAAAGTCAAATCATAAAGGCTTTTTCCAGTTATATCGAACTAAGACTACGGAAAGGATAGGTCCATTAAAATCTGAGACAGGTCAAATAACGGATAATAAGACGAGTCATATTTTTAACAAATATTTTATATGTATTTACTAAAAAACAACTTAACAATGTGCCTTCAGCCGAACAAGTCTATGTGGATGGGGATGAGGACAGGTTGACTAGTTAAGCAGTTACCAGGGAGGATGTAAGTAAACAATTAGACAAACTCAAACCAAACAAATCCCCAGGGCCGGATGAAGTGTTTGCCAGGGTGCTTAAAGAATGCAAAGAGGAGCTTTCCGAGCCACTGTCTAACATATTTAATAAATCAATAATCAGGCAGAGTGCCAGTCATGGAAGGTAGCTAATGTGGTACCAATTCTTAAAGGAGATTGATCACCCGCGTCAAACTATCGGCCAATCAGCCCAACGTCCATTGCTCCTGAACAAATAGCCTGGATGTGTCACAACGGAAAGGTTGATGTTATTCTGGAGAGATATAACAATTTTGCACCAAAATTGTAGTATTTTGTTGAATTATCTGCACGTGTCTTGCAAATTGTCTATACACTATACCTAGGTCATAAAAGTATTTGTGTGTACGTCTGATACCATACTACTTGTGAAGGAGGAAATGTATGTTTACCTCTCAGAATATTTGGTAATGTTTATTTGTGATGTGTGTCTATGTATATATTAACACGTTGTACTGAATGGGGTGAGAATGGCTTGAGCTACCTCATCCCTTTGTGTGTATTTTACCTCAATAAACTTATTTCAATTTCAACGTCCATTGCTGGAAACCTACCCGATTCGACAATTGTAAATACAATTCGTCTTAGAGACAATTCTATAACCAATGTTCCAGCGATATGTCAATGTCATTCAAAATGATCTGCTACCAGACATTTTAGCCAAATATCCCGTTTGCTAACTGTGGGTAGTAACTAAGTGATTGTAACCTATCCACCGCTGCCCACTGGATGGGGGGCGGTGTGCAGGACGAACATATCAATTTTGACACTAGCTCTCCACATATGTCACTTGCTTCATTTAGAACCTGTACTTGAGGTCGATCTCGAACCCATTGTTGATGTCACGACTTGTATGAAATTTTCGAACTACCTCATCAACATTGTAACTTGCTTAGCTAAATGAATTGTGGGGTTCAGTTCCTGAGCCCATTATGTGCCTCTGTAACCCTTTTCCACTACCGCCCACAAGATGGGTATGGGGTGCATAATAAATGAACTAAACTAACTAAATCTTGAAGAACATAAATGAATAAATGACTCGCAACATGGTTCTGCAAATGGCCGTTCATATATGACACATTTGCTATCCCTTCATTCCAACACAGTCGAGGCATTTGACAGTGGTAAGGATTGCGATGCTGTGCACCACGACTCTAGCAAAGCTTTTGATCAAGTGCCACATGAAAGACTGATCAAACAAAAAATAGAGGCTCATGGTATTGGGGGTGCTATATAAAGTTCGACCAGGGCATGTCAACTCCAAAACAGAGCTAGCATAAATGGCCTTAAGTCAGAGTGGCATAATGTTGTCAGTGGAGCGCCTCAAGGCTCTGTCCTGGGACCTCTATTGTTTACAACATGCATAAATGATTTAGACTCAGGTTCGAGCACCAACATCCGCAAATTTGCAGATGACACACAAATCGGTTGGGAAATTGACTCTGAAGAAGACTCGCTATCACTGCAGGTTGATCCAAATAGTTTCGAAATGATCAAAAGATTGGCAGATGCAGCCTAACGCAGACAAATGCAAAGTTCTGAGGCTAGGTAATGATGATAAGACTTACAAGATACGAGCCAGGTGGTGCTGAGATTGCGAAGTCGGACCGCGAAAGGGATCGGGAGCCATGATTAGTAAGATTTTAAAACAAAAGGACCAATGCATGAATGTTCACAATAAGGCAAACAGGACGCTCGGTTTCATTAATCGAAGTCCAAGTAACAAGACACCTGGTGTAGTTCTTCACAACTTTACATTTATCAGCATTAAACTGCATTTGCCAGTCCTTTGACCATTTCAAAACCCTATCTAGATAAACTACAAGTGATAGCGAGTCCTCCTCAAAAATAATTTCCCTACCAATATTCGTATCATCGGCAAAATTGCAAATGTTGCTACTCAAACCTGATTCTAAATCATTTATATATATTAACAACAGAGGTCCCAGGACAGAGCCCTGAGGTACTCCACTAACAACATTATCCCACTCTGACTTAGCCATGCCCTAATCCAGCTTAATATAGCACCCCCAATACCATGAGACTATCTTTTTATTCACTCGTGTGACACTGTATCAAAAGCTTTGCTAAAGTCAACGTACACAACATCGCAATCCTTACCACTATCAACTGCCTCAACTATGCTAGAATAAAAAGATAACAAATTTGTTAAACATGAACGCCCATTGATAAAACCATGTTGCGACTTAATTATTCGTTTATGTTTTTCAACATGAAGACGATTTTTATTTGCCATTATAAATTTGAGTAACTTTCCCACAATAGACGTTAGGCTAATTGGTCGATAGTTAGACGCAAGTGATCTATCTCCTTTCTTAAACACTGGTATCACATTAGCAACTTTCCAAAACTCTGGCACTCTGCCTGACTCTATTGATTTATTAAATATGGTTGCCAGTGGGTCACAAAGCTCCTCTTTGCATTCTTTAAGCGCACTCGCAAACACTTCATTCGTCCCTGGGGATTTCTTTGGTTTCAGTTTTACTATTTGTTTAAGAACATCCTCCCTGGTAACTGCTAAACTCGTCAACCTGTCCTCGTCCCCACCCACATAGACTTGTTCGCCTGAATGCATATTGTTAACTTCCTCTTTAGTAAATACAGATACAAAATATTTATTATAATTACTACTCATCTCTTCATAACTATCTCTTATTTGACCTGTCTCAGTTTTTAATGCACCTATCCTTTCCCTAGTCTTAGTACGATATAACTGAAAACACCCTTTAGGATTTGTCTTTGCTTCCCCTGCTATGCGAACTTCATAGTTTCTTTTTGCTTTCCTTATCTCTTTTTTTAACATTTCTAACCAGTTGTACGAATTCCTGTTCTATAGGGACCTTCACATTTTTAATGCTTTTGTACCAAGCTCTCTTTTTACCTATAAGGTTCTTCAAATTCTTTGTTATCCACTTTGGGTCATTAGAATTCGATCTATTCAATTTGTATGGTATACTACGTTCCTGTGCTTTGTTTAGAATATTCTTAAATCAGTTCTATTTTGAATCCACATC